GCTTACACCTGGGGTAGTCGCGGACCCACTCCCGACGGGGCACTTGGCCCCACTGTGGCTGCCCCTGGAGCGGCCGTTGCTGATATCGCTGCCTGGCAATGTAATGCTTCTGCTCTTCTCAATGGTAGCTCCATGAGTTCACCAGCAGTGGCTGGAGGACTTGGTAGGTCTATTTCTTCATTGTTTCTTTTTATTTCCCTTTTGGCCCCCTCTAATTTCGCACCGCCTTGTTGTTTCCTAAAGCCCTCGTACTGTCCGCTTTGCGGCAGAAACTGCCTGCCTCTGATTCCTCTCGTCCTCTACGTGTACCCTTCAATCTCTGGCGAGCCACCATCTTCCACACTGCTAAACGGTTGGAGCTCCTGACACCCCTTGAAAAGGGTGCCGGTATCTTTCAGGTTGGAGCTGCTCTGGACTACTTGTTGACGCTCCTTCAGTCACCGATGTACGTTTAAGCAAGATTGTTAAGCTAAGTTGTGCTTGCTACTTTCTATGTGTAAGTAGACATGTTTATTTTATGATAGACCTTCGGAGCCAGCAGCAGTCGAATCACCTGCCCTCCGCATCGAGCAGTGTCACAGCTCCACAGAATCAAAGCCGTTGGGTCCCGAGGCGGTTGCCCAGCGCTTTTCCGGTTGGCGTTTGTACTGCGCCGTCACTGGTCCTGGATGCATCGTAGACAACAACAAGCAGGCAGGCAGCCGGGGAATCTGGCTCCGACGTGGATGGCTGCCTTCTGTAACCAATCCGGCATCCACTCTGCTGCCTGAGATTTCCTTTAAACTCAAAATTCGCCCGTTATTCTCCTCTGTACGTTATTTTTTTGAATTTTTCGTATTAAAATTTCTGAATAACTTCCAATCTGTGGGCTTGGGTAATTGCACATCTGTATAAACAGGCCTGTGAAGTCCTACAAGCCTGGCGCATTGTGTAAAAACTACGAACTTGCGTGCTGTGCCGAGAATAACTTATAATTAGGGCTTTCTGCTTAGCCACATGACCACCTCTAGGGCTGTCACATGCTCTGTATCCTAAACTAAAACTCAAATAGTCATAGACACGCATATGCACGAGTTCGAGGCTTGACTGGGGTACCATTTGGAGCTGGGTATAACTGGCTGACACCGGCTAATAAGTCAGAAGTGGCCATTCCAGTGTCCCTTGTTTTTGCTGGAAATACTGTCTATTCATACTACTAGCTGCTACAGCTGCTGTCAGGGCCAGAGAAATGAGGCCCAAGGAAAAAAGGCGGTTGGTGAACGTTCTCCAAGGAATGCTTTCTTATCTTAGTTTTTGACGGACCCAATTAGGGGCACAGTTTCTTGCTTTCAGTGGAGCCTCTGAAACGTTATCGGGTTCCTTGGCTTCTTACATGGACAATTGTGGAAGTCGTACCATTATGACCTCGAGAAGACCACTGCCCTCCGATAATGTAATTTATCGCGTTGATATACCCAAACTCACAATTTTGCGGATCCTCTTGATGAGATATTTAGAGGTGGGGTGATGGTTTAGATCTCATGCAAATTCGGTACGTACTTCCCTCCATCTATTAAACACATGACTTATGGGCACTTTGTCCCGCCTTAAGTAATGAAATATGAGATATGAAGCAGAGGGGTCTCTAGTCCATTCCGATCTATGGTCCTTAACTAATTTACGGCGACTGGTGATGCCTTATTGGATATTGGGCAGGGGATTTGAGCTGCCTGATGACCATCCTTCAAATGAAGCATACCGACTTCGTGTAAAATGAGACAGGCCACACTCGCTGCGACATTATCGTGGCGTTGTCTGAGGCCATCCAAGAAAGGCGACTGAAGTGGTTTGGGCAACTTCTTCGTCGTCCACCTCATGAGCTTTGGTGTGCTGTCTTCGCTCCGGTGCCGCAGGTAACCTGGAGACGGCGTCGAAGAGGAGGGCACCCAAAACGTGGCTCGACACCATTTCTGAAGACATGGAAGCGGTTATTGGCTCCTCGGTTTTCGGTCTCCGTTGCTGGAAAAGATAATGGGCGGAGTTTTCCAGATCCGCTGCCATTAATCGTCACGAGGAGAGAGGTCCAGTCCGTGACGTCACTGAGGCCGGCT